CTGCAAAGGACCCACCATGGAGCCCTATGGAACTCATGGATGGCAGTATAGAAGAGGAACACAGGGATTAGAGATTCACTGCTTTTTTTTTTTTTTAAAGATTTTTATTTATTTTTCAACAGAGAGAGAGACAGCGAGAGAGGGCACACAAACAGGGAGAGTGGGAGGGGCCTGGCCCCACCTGCGCCCGCCTCTCTGGCAGCTCCTCCGCTCGCCCTCCTGGGCAGCCCCACAGTTCAGGCCACAGCAGAGCGATCGGACACTCCCAGCCTCGGCTACTTACACCTTCAGCTCCGAGGCGCAGTCCTCCTTGAGCATCGAGTCGGCCAGCTGCTGCAGAAGAGCATCTTCCGTGCCCACCAGCTGCCCAGGGAGAGAGGGCGGCCTACTGATGTCTGGGCGCAGCAGTCCCGCCGGAGGGCCTGGGGATCAGGCCACAGACAGAACGGCGCGCGACTCCCAGGATTCCCGCTCGCGCGCGCAGGGCGCCCTTTACCAAGAGAGGGCTCCGCCAGGCACGGGTTGAGGGCCCAGGCTGCAGCCGCTCCGGTCCAGTTCGCACAGCACTTCTTACCTCCCGGGACCCTCCCTCGGGCGGCCGGACCAGCGACCCCGGGAAGCACATTACCGGGCCCGCCCGGAACTCAGCCTCCCGGGACCCTGCCCAGTCTCCCCGCCCAGCAGCCCCACCAATCAGAAGCGGGGAAAGAGCCCGCCGCGCACCTATTGGTGGGGGCGTCCTTCAGCCTCAGAGGGCGGCTACTCCAATTGGCTCAGAGTGTGCCTCTCCCGCCCACCACACCCCGGCCTGAAAAACGCGCTCCAGAACCTGAGAGAGCGCAGAGGAGCGGGCAGCGGAGGCGCAGCCAAGGAGGGAATGCGGGCGGAGGAAGCGGAGCAGCTGACGCCTACCAAAATGGTGGCCGTGTTCAGGCCAGGCTGCTTGTCCAGCGGCCGCAACACCGACATCCTAGCCGCGGGCAGAACCGCCGCTCCTGCAGCGCGCGCGGATCTTTCAAACCGCGCAGAGGCCCGCCCTTAAGTGAGCGACGAGGGGCACGTGACCCTAATCTGGGCGGGGCTTCGCGGGACGGGGCGGAGCCCTCTTAAAGGACCCTACCTCCTTTTTTGAGAGGGGAGTTCCCGCTCCGGCCGCAGGCGCTCTCTGGGAGGGACCTTGCCAGGTGGCTGAAAAATGAGAAATTGCAGGATAAAGATATACATACCCACATCACAGCACTGGGCTCCTGAGCCTGGACTGGCCTTCACAGTCCTGCACACATCACGCTCCTCCTGCCTGTTATATTAACCTTCTGGAACCTTCTACGGAC